TCATTTTCATGCGCAAGAAATATTGAAAAACTTGGCAAAACCTTGAAAATCATAGGAGATGAGAATTGTTAGCTCCTTTTTCAGTATCTTACAAATTACGTAGCCTTCGTTTCGAATGTGAGTTGATTTTTTTGATTTTTTAATTATTTTAATTTAAGATTAAAAAGTCTTGTTTGTGATAGACTTTTTGATTTTTGTGAGAAAAAAAATAATAATTATAGTTTAGATATAACATTTCGTCCTATTCACTTTTTAGTCTATTTTATCTTTTTATGGCTAAAATAGCCAAAGCCTTCGTTTGGGAAGAAGAGTTGGGTTGAGTTTGGGGCTATTTTAGCCATAAAAAGACAAAATAGGTTTTTTAGCTAAACAAGACAAAATATCACATTCAACCCATAATCTTTACATTATTTCTTTCACAAAAAGTCAAAAAAGCCCAAAAAATCCTTCCCAAACGATACTTTTTAGCACCAGGCTAAAATAGTCAAAAAGCTAAAAAACCAACCCACTTCTCAAACGAAGCCAAAAAAGATTATGCCAAACATCGCCTTAGGCCATGTTTGGAAATTTAGATTTTAATAAAAAGTCAAATACACAATATCATTCTATTTGTTTATGACTTTCTATAAAAAATTTAAAAATTATTATGGACGTCAATTCCCAAATAAACCTTTAATCATATCAGACTCGGGTTGTTTTGAGAAGATAGTTAAAAATTAATTTTTTGAGTTTTTTTTTTTATTTTTTTTTAAAGAAAGGGCATAAAAAATAGAAATGGGGTCATTGCTGTGCTAAAGGCACAATAGTGACTGTTGTGCCTCAATTTGAGGTGCATTATGGACTTATTTTTATAATCTGAATCGTTCATTTCGTAAGCTTTGTTAAGTACTTCTGCCTATCAAAAATCATATTAATCGAATATTAATAACTATATGATCGATAACCAAAAAAATAAATAATGAGTTTTTTTTTTTGAGAAATAGCATAAACAATATGCATTATAGCATAAAAAAATATTCACCCAAAAAAAATAGTATAAACAATATGTAATTCGATCATATAATTATTGATATCCGATTAATATGATTTTTGGTAGGCATGAAGTACTCAACAAACCCTACAAAATGAATGTTTCAGATCATAAAAATAAACCCATAATGCACCTCAAATTGAGGCACAGTGACCCCAATTCCTAAAAATATGAGAAATAATGTGACTCAAAATGAAATAAAAGTTGAAAAGATAACTTTTAACCCACTTTTCAAATGTTGGAATTGATCCCTTCTCATGCCATGTAACAGTTAGAAATTTCTATTTATTTTCCAATTGACTTTGGAAAAAAATAAGAAACAAAAAGTTCTAATTTTGTTTGGGATGTAAAAATATTTTGAAAATGTGTTTGGTGTTGTTAGAGCTGATGGTGGCGGCTGAAAAATAAAATAAAATAAAGAAAGTAAATTACTAACAGGTCATTAAGGTGGTGGCAGAAAAATAAAATTATAAAAAGAATAAATTATTAAGAGGTCCTATTTTTTGAATTTATTACCTATTTATTAATCAGTTTCTCTTATTTTTATGAATTAATTTACAGTGATAAATTTATTTGTCAAGACCTATAGATAAATAAATCTAATTAATAAGACTGATTGGTAAGTACCTAAAAAAATTATAAATAGTAAAATTTATACACTTCAATAATTAGAATGTTATACTTTTCATGATTTTATAAATTTTTTTACAATAAGTATTTGCCTTTTTTTTGTTTTGTTTTTTTTGGAGGAGGGGCAATTTTTAGTTTTTTTATTAGATAAAAAAAATAATGGGTTTAAAGTAAATTTTTTTGAAGAAATTATAATAAAAATTTTACCGTGTGACCGTTATAACAAAATAAAGAGTAAATTACAGTAAACCACTCAACTATGACTGGTGTTGGGTGGGGGTTTGGATTAGCATACTTCCGTTTGGGTTTGTGGGTGATTTGGGTGAATTTCAAAGAAGAGTTGGACATGTAGGTGTTAGTGGTGGAAGAAACAGGAACGGTGAAACGGTGTTGCTAGATTGGTCAGTGTTGGTTGCAACTTAGTCTTTTCTTTTCTAGTGGTAAAAGTAGTTGGCCAACGACTCTAATTTCTAATCCTGCCATGTATTTCTTTTGGGAAATTTTACCATACATACTCTGCACTCCTAAATTATATCATTTTTTTCTTAAGAGTTGGTATTTGCTCCCACCTAATTACTTTGGCCTACCCACTTCTTTTAACCCCCACTTAGTAAAATGCTCCTATATTTTTTTCGGGAGCTTCTATTTGCACACACCCAATCCACTATATGCACACACTTAATGATATTTATTTTTATTACAATTTTATTCCTAAGTGAAATTATTATTTTGGACATCATATCATACACAATTCAAATAAACAAACGTTCTCATTGCACATCCACATCATGTTGAAGCTGTTGAAGCTCCAAGTCCATTGTAGCTACTCCTTCTTCCATACTCAGTTCACATTCCATCCTCCACATTCCATCTCCATCCTTTGAAACCCTTCATTGTTAGCTTCCATTCATTAGTTCACACACTAAACACCATCATTCTTGATTCATAGCTTTCCATTAGTTTACACACTAAACCTCATCCTCATTAATCATTGTTATGGAAAATTTCTCTTCTGAAAATTTAGATTTTCATAAGCAAATAAATGTTTATGAGAAAGATAGCCAAAGAAATATGAGTTTTGCAATGTAAAAGTCTTTTTTTTTTTTTTTTTTTCAGCGTCTTTCGGATAACCATGGTCGAAATATATCAATTTATTCGGCAGTCTACTATCGAAATAATTATGTAATTTCAGAAGTTGTCGTCCGAAATAATTTAAATTTTACGAAATTCAACTTCCGACCTAGTAAAAATAATTCGGACAACTACATTCGAACAGTGGCAATTTGTTCAACACTGTACTTCCGAATGAAGTAAATTTTTTTTTCTCATTTTATATTCCAAATTTGTAAACTGCATACTAAATTTGCAGTTTCAAATTGCAAATTTATCTTTATAATGCCATTTCAAATTTGTAATGCTGTACAAAACATGCAGGAATATGTGTCAACTTAAGGAAGTCAGGTTTGCGCGGATAGTGTGTTGGATTACACTACTCAATTCACAACTGCATAGGTTCACTCTACGAAATTATAATGATCGTGTTTTGAATTGCTCAACAAATGTAAATGTTTAATAATATTTGTTTGACTTTTGTAGGTATTCAAAAGTAAGGATGAATTGCTCAACTGGGTACGTGAAGTTGGAAAGAGAAATGATTTGGTCATTATAATCAAAACATCAGACTATGGTGGAGGGAAAAAAAGACCAAGGATGTATCTTACTTGTGAGAGGAGTGGCCCATATAGAGCGACAAAGAAGTTAAAACATGATGATAACAATACATCAAGAATAACTGATATGAAGAAGTGTGGTTGTCCTTTTGATATGAGGGCTCATAGGTTTACCACAAATGATGAATGGACATTGACCGTAGTATGCGGATTGCATAACCATCCACCTGCAGAGCACTTTGAGGGACATTCATATGTGGGGAGGTTGTCAAAGGATGAGAAAGCATTGTTAATGGATATGTCAAAGAGCATGGTTAGGCCAAAAGAAATCCTAGTAACCTTGAAACAGCGAGATGCCCTCAATATAAGCACACTTAAAACCATTTACAATGTATGCCATCGAAACAGGGTGGTACAGAGGGCTAGAAGATCACAGATGCAACACTTATTAGGTGAATTGGCCAAGTATAATTACATTGAGCGCCATCGATGTGAAGAGTCCACGATGATTGTGACAGACTTGTTTTGGGCACATCCTACCAGTTTGGACTTATTTTGGTCTTTCCCACGTATATTAATTATGGATTGCATATATAAAACCAATAGATATCGTTTTCTTCTTCTTGAAATTATGGGAGTGACATCAACTGAAATGACTTTCTCTATAGCTTTCGCACATTTACAGTATGAGAGGGCCGATAACTATGCGTGGGTGTTAGTAACATTGTGTGATGTCATGGATGGTTTTGTTTTGCCAGCAATTATTGTCACTGACAGAAAGCTAGCCTTGATGAATGCCATACATAAGATATTCCCGAGTGGCAGACATTTATTATGTTGTTGGCATATCAGTAAGAATGTATTGACCAAATGCAAGAAAATGTTTGAGACACAGCAGAAATGAGAGAAGTTCAACCATGAGTGGAACTCTTTAGTGTATTTATCTTTTGAAATTCAATACAATGAGCGTCTTAAATCATTACTTAAGGAATTCATTAGTTATCCCGATGCAGTCAACTACGTCATGGATACTTGGTTGGTTCCTCACAAGGAGAAATTTGTAGCGGCATGGACAAACACGTGTATGCATTGTGGTAATGTTACAACCAATTGGTCAGATTACTTTTGTTCAATAAGTTATTAATAAGTGCTATGTACTTGATTTTTATTTGACTTACATTGAATTGAATAGGGCTGAGAGTGCACATGCAAAACTTAAAAGACAATTCGATTCATGTCAAGTCTCATTTCAGGCATCATTTGAGAAAATACACGGTCTGCTTGAGTTGCAACACACTGATATTAAGGCTTCATTTGAGAAAAATCTAACTGTTGAGCAACATCAATTCAAACCTTCTCAGTTCAGGGAGTTACGAGGTAATGTGTCTATCTCTGCATTAAAGTATTTGCTTGTAGACAGTAAGAGAGCCAATTCCATTGGTATTGATGCTGAAGCTTGTGGATGCGTCCTTCGCCACACTCATGGTTTGCCTTGTGCCCATGAGATTGCTGACTACATCAGACAAGATCGTCCTATATCACTTGCTACCATACACTTATAGTGGAGGCAACTTTATATCTCCATATGCAACAAAGAAGAGGAAACAGAGGTGACTTGCCATGCAAAAGTAGAGTTGTTTGTGAAAAGGTTCAATGAAAGTGATAAAACCATGCAGTTAGAGATTTTGAAGAAATTGAAAGAGATTGTATGTCCGGGAAGCACTTTTCTTGTTGAGTCGGAGGTGAAGCCCAAAACACGTCCTCGGGATCATAAGAAGATCAATGTTTCTACCCGTCGTGACCCGTGTGCATTTGAGTTGCTGTAATTTGGACATGATTCTTTCTCACCTAGGGACACTCATATCACTATATTAACTTCTACTCTAGAAATCAAGAAAAAACAACTTGTTAAGGGAAAGAAGAAGGTGCGTGCGAAGGGGAAGGTGTACATTACCAGAACAGTAAAACCTAGTGCATATGTTGATGTTTTCCCTTTTGGGTTGAAACCATACATTAAGTTTGCCAAGGATGTAGCCACAGATGGGATTTGTGGTTTCAGGTCTATAGCTGCTTTAATTGGTCATATAGAAGATGATTGGGCTCAGGTTAGGCGTGATCTTTTGGGTGAGCTGCACACACACAAAGAGGAATACGTTACACTTTATAGGTCCTATAAAAGGTTTGAAGAATTGACAAGCATATTGTCATACTTTGAAGACAGTTCTGGCTACTCACATTGGATAATTATGCCAGACATGGGACATCTTGTTGCATCGTGCTACAATCTTGTGTTATACCACTTGTCATTACAACAATGTCTCACCTTTTTACCTCTTAGAACAGTGCTAGTACCTCAACTTGATAGACGTGAGATTGCCATTAGGTTTGTCAATGGAAATCATTTCGTCCAGGTATAAGAGAAACTTATCAATTTGTGCATGTACAAGAAGTTATGAGGTATGACCACTAACTCAAGTGACATTTGGTGCAGGTTTTTTTGCAGCTAGGTCATCTAGTTCCTCCTATAGCCACTAATTGGTGAAAATGCCGTCACCTTAGCATTGTCGACTAGGATGATGCATATGTGCGCTGCATTCAACATTTCAAGGACATCATTCATGATATTGTAGCTACTCGAGAGACATTTGATGTTGTTGATGTCGAATGACATATGTATGCATTTGACAATGTTAGAATTATGGAAGAAATTAATGGATGTGTTTTTTGATATTGATATGTTCTGTGGCATGGATTGAATGTTATCAACCATTGTTACCATTCCATTTTAATAACAAAATATCATTTACAAAATCATTGACCATTGTTACCATTCTATTCTAATAATAAAATGTCATTTACAATGTCATCAACCATTGTTACCATTCCATTCTAATAAGAAAATATCTTTTATAATGACATTAAAAGATGTATAAAGCAATGTCATCTTACAAAAAACACCATAAAAAATTCATCAACTGACAAATAACATGTCACGAATCAGTTGTATGCCTACGACTAGGCCTACGACTGTATGTCAATGTCAGAGATGAAAAGCGACCTCCAGTAGAACTAGGTCCAGTAGAACTAGGTCTAGCTTCGTCAATGTGTTGACCTTCAAGGACATGCACCATAGCCTCGATAGCCTGGTAAAGTCGATGAGGATGTCGAATCTCGTCCTCATAACCAGCCTGAATGATATGATGTGCAATCCTAAGTGCATGTGCAATACACTGCATTTGAAAAGAATATACACATTTTAGGGAACATATCAGAAAAGAAAAAGTAAGTTACAAATTCATAAAAGAGGATAATATATTACATCGGCATGTTGGCTGAAATCCTGATGTTTATGGACACGTGGTTCATCAGTGTGCTCAACATATAGGTGCGTCATATTCTTATACTAATCCATGTAACCTGGTACGCATTCCTAAGGCTGATGAACTAGTGTGCTCCTCCGCTACTTAGATAACACGTGGTTATCCCAAGCCTCCCATATCCTATCCAAGTATCTATACATGACTGTATATCATGTAGATATGTTGCCTCGAGTACCATGAGTGGGAGCCAGCAGTGGATTTGGAATGGTTTGATCCCTGCCAAACTGCCTTAGAACTCTATCTGGATGATAGGGTTCGACCACATCTAAGCACTTCAAGCATCCATGGTAAAACGTAATCGGGTTACATAAATGCCGGTCTGTACAACTGTGGTATGGATCCCAAATAACCTGTAAATATAAAATGCTTTGAATTAAAGTATATAAAGGGTAACATAAATGGAAAGTGTTAAAATTATTGATGAACGAGTAAACTTACATCAATCACTACCGAAATATCAAGGTTTGCTCGAAAAGATTTGAAATGATCAATGGAGGAACCCTGCTCTCTCCTAGATGTCCACTGGTACACGTGTGGCATGTTTTCATTATAGCCCATGTTCTGGTGATGTTGGAATGCTCAAAAGTGCTCATAAATCCACGCCTCCAAAAGAGTCATATAATCACCTATTTGCTTAACACCGAACCGGCTAGCATACCTTAACTGTCTGTATAAAAATGCTAATGCAACAGCACCCCAGGCGTAAGTATGAATGGATCCTAAATCCACCAATAAGCCAAGGTAAACAATAGGAACCCTGCCGCCACTCTTGTCACTAAAGTGCGTACATCCCAACATAAACAACAAATAAGCTCTAGCAGCGCACTGTATAGCCTCCTATAGGTCTGAATTTGTGATACAGGCAAACTGACTTCGCAACTACTCAAGTTTGAATGAATTCCCACCAACAGTAAAAACCTCGTCATGTGCTACACGTTCAGTAATCCCCAAGCCAGAAACCAGTAGTGTAACTCCATGAAGATCCGTCATATCTGGTACACTAACTGATCTGCCTACAATGGGAAGACTAAGAATAGTGCCAACATCATCTCACCAACTGTCATATGAAATGTGTTCATCTCAGGTTGCCATCTCTTAACAAAACTGGAGATTAGAAGCTTGTTGACGAATCGACAAGTGCAACGAGCTAACTGTGACAACCCAGACCGCTCAATAATGGCTTTGAATCTGGTGTTGTTGTCTACTGACCACCATGGCCATGCAAGGATCTTCGAAGAGTGATTATGACACTTTAGGGGCCCTCTTTCCTATAAAACAAATGAATATCTCATTAGAAACTACCATATAACACAAAAAAAAAAAAAAAACCATATACAAATGAATTTCACTTCTACTCAGGAATGTTTACCTCCCCCTACCAAACAGCTGTAGCGACATGACTATTGAAACTCTGTAGTATTGATGGATTAGTCAGTCCACCTGGAAAAGCATGAGTAAGGTCCTCTTCCTGGACAGTACGAGAATCAGGTAAAGGGGCGTCCTCTACAGCAATGTCAGGCATATCATCACCTTCAATTCGTCTTTGGCTTCGGCTCCAACTTTGACTGGCACTGGGATATCATATTCTACTGGAACTGGATCACGACCTCGACCTTGACCCCGACCTCGACCTCGTCCTCGCCCATGCCCTCGTTCCCGTTTATGGTCAACATCCAATTCACGACGTCGTCTATTTGAAGTAGTAGGTAGGACACATTGTTGACATTCATGATCCATATTATCAGCAAAAATTAATATACTTAATGAGTATACAATTGTAAAAGGAATATACAAAAGAGGGGGGAAAAAAAACAAAAACAAAACAAAACCGTTCGGAAGTTGAAAACCGAAAATGTCCATTCTGTTCGGAAGTTGAAATCCGAAAAAACACATTCATTTTGGAAGTTGAATTTTGTCTGAATTAAACATATTCGGAAGTTGAATGTCAAAATAATGAAAAATTTTTGGACTTCTATTGTTGAAATAAATGATAATTTTTGGAATTCTACTTCTGAACTAGTTTTTCAGAAAACCAGTTTCGAATGAGGAACAAATTGTTCATTTCGGTGGGCTATGCGTTCGTTCATTTCGAAAATGGTAAAAACAAACCCTACATTATAAATGAAATATGAATAAGGAATGAAATAAGTAAACTAACCTAAGTTGAAGAATTCCTTCAATGGTTCAATGAGATTCTTCAATGCTTGAATAATGTCTTCAATAAGCTTTTGGGGACGAAAGGTGTGAGAGATGGACTTGTGTGAGAGACGTGTGTGAGAGATTGACGTGTGTGAGAGATGCAGCTTGAATGGGTGTGTATTTGCACCATTCGGAGAGCTAGGTTTGGGGTTTGGGTGTGTGTGTGTGATGGTTCGTTGAACACACCAAAATTAAATACTAAACTATACCAAATTCAATCAGAATAATGGCAAGTCCAGGTATCGATCCACAGGGACTATTGTGAAATTAAACTAATTTAATTGTCAAATTCCTAAATTAATTTTGATAAAAAGATTGAATGATCATAACCTAATTTAATAACAAATAAATTAAACTAAGGAATTAAATTATCAATAATAAATGAAATTGGATTTACTAAATTGGG